AATACAAGTCTAAAGAGGTTATAATTTCATTGTATAGGTCACTGATTAGGTCTACAAGTCTGGAGTATTGTGTTCAGTTTTGGAGTACTTACTTTAGGAAAAACATTGAATTGTTTGAAAGGGTTCAGAAAAAGGCTTCTAGAATGGTACCTGGGGTGAAGAGGTTGTCATACAAGGAGAGGTTAAGATCTCTAAAACTGTTTCCTCTTGAAAAGAGAAGAGTTAGAGGGAATCTGATTGAGGTGGTAAAGATTTTAAAGGAAATTGATAGTGTTGATGCATCATCTTTTGTTTATACTTAATGGTGATAATGGTAGAACTATTATATATATTTGGGCAGGGTAGGAATCATCTTCAGGGTGTTTGGCCTTTAGATGTTGTGGAGGCAGTAAATTTAAGGAGTTTAAGAGAAATCTTGATGACTATGAATGATAAGGGCTGACTTTTAGTTGTTTCTTTTATTTAATAGTTTTAGTTTAGTTCAGATGATTGAAACAGTCTAGTTGGACTAATAGGTCCCTTGTTATCCCTTAAACATTATGTTTGTTATATTATTGTGGTAAATATTGGTCAAAATGCAAAAGAACTTAGTCTTTCAAATTAGTGATCCAGTTGGTTAGTCATAATTAAGCACAAAGCAACACAATGGGCTGTATGTGCTCTGTCCACCACGGGTATCGAAACACAGTTTATAGCATTGTAAGTCTGCAGACATACAGCTGAGCCACTGGAGGATTAGTGATCCAGAAACACACAGAACTAATAAATGAAACTAGTGTCAAAGTACATAAGGAAAGAAAATACATAAAAAAAATTATGACCTTACAAAGATGACCTAATACTTGAATAACATATCTGCAATATTTATTAAGATATATCAACATGACTTGGTATTCCAGAATTTCACTCTATTAAGAGTATAACTGTTAAAAATAAATCTGAATCCTGACTGAACTTCTCATCTTGCACAAGCTTTTATACTTGATTAACAAAATTTTACTAAATTTAGCTTTTCTGCAAGTTTATCAGAATGAACATTAAAATTCTGAAATTGACGGATGTACATTTATATTAGAAGACCTATAGACAAAGAAGTTAGAAAATTATTTGCAAAACAACTAGAATTAAGTTGATAACTGTAATTTTAAGAATAATCTCTCTCTAAAAACAGTCTGTGATACAAACATTTATGTAAGAGTTTTGCTCCATTTTCAATTTTTACATCTTTTTTTTTTCAACTCAACTCAGATATTAAATGGATCTGAAAGAAATTTTGACATACTTCAAGAAACAAGTTCAATTTATATCATATTAAATCCTTTTGGAACCCATAGATGTGATATGTTTGTTGCACTAGATTCCATTTTCACAAGTATTGGCTTTTCATTTGTGGCATTAGTTTGGTTCTGGGTAAAATAATGAAAGAATTCCTTATCTTATTTTAATTATATTAACAACCTTTTTATATATTTTTTCACTATCTTATATTTAGTTTATGATATATTTAGCAGTTTCATAGTTAAACATTTTATATCATCAAACCAAAATGGCTTTCATGTGTTTGTAGGGTTAGAAAGTTGATAAAGCAAAACGAGATAGGTTATAATTAAATAAACCAACAAAGAAAGGATGAAGATGTGTTATATCTGTTGTCTAATACTAGACAATCACCACATTATTTATTTTCCAAGCAAGCTTTCAGATTGCTAAATATCTTGGAAACTGACATTTTCTAGAAACAATCCTAATGATGATTATGAGCTATTTTGTGTACCAGTAACAAACTTTTCACATTAGAATTATCGTACTGTTTTCTTGAAGTGTTGCCTTTTTCTGTACAATTTCAATAATTTAAAATACCTAGCGAGCCTATATATGACTGATCTTAAGACAGCCACAAGCTTGCTTGAAAAATGAACAAAATGTGGCTACCCAGTCCATTCACTAATTTGTTTGGTCTCAAGTAATGAATTTCAATATTTCAAACATTAGTGTTTCACGAGAATTAATATTTCACTGAAGCCATGATATAAAAATATTACATCACACTAAAACCTTTTCACTCTGCTGCACAAGATTAGAATCACTCACCTTAAGTCCTTTGTCACACCAAACAACACAATCTTTAAATCTTCCAACTTCCAGCAACACTGGGCCCCTTGTAAAGAGACATTTAGATGTTGATTAATGCCTACAATTTAAGGTATTGTATAATGTAGATAAAAGTTGATTCACATGTTTCTAAGCTGGTAATTGGCAAGCTTAATTTTGGCTACTTACATAAAGTATTATTATAGATATAAAGCTGATTTATGTTTCCATGCTGGTAATTAATGAACCTAACTCTGACTACTTATATATAATGTAGATCAAGTTGGTTTGTGTATTTCCAAGCTGATGATAAATGAACCTAAGTTAACATTTTTCTAAACTGAAAATGTATTTCTAATAACACTTACCTCTGTTGACACTAGAGCTATTTCTCAATCTCCAGGGTTTCCACTCTTTGCCCATCTAAGCATTCAAAATGCTTGCTCTAGTCTTTTATATCCCATTCGAATGCCCTTGGCAAATTCTCCACCAACTTCAATGAGCCCTCTTTCTAGGTACTATATATAAGCACCTCATTCAGATAATGTAATCACTTTTTCGAGACATAAACTGGCTTTTAGTGGGGAGGTAGGGAAGAGTGTTAGCAGAGATAAGTATTATTGGAAATACATTTTCAGTTTAGAAACATGTTAATTTCCAAAACATACTTACCTCCATTGACACTATAGCTAGAAACTCACACTGAGAAGGTGGAAGGGCTAGTACAGGTATGAAACATACAGAAAACATCTGTATAGAACAGGAGTGTACCAAGATAAAGATAGTACAAGAATGGGAGAACCACACAACATCCAGAATAGGTATGTTCTTCACCTGTAAATCAGTTCCTATATCAAAGGTGGAATAGAATATGAGTAATCAGGTTTGGAGTTAAGGGGTCATGGTATCTATATCCCACGTTGGTAGCTAGGGCTATTGGACCACAATGTTATATATGTATGTATGTATATATATAACTCCAAAAAAAAAAATAATAAGTTAAGGAAGAATATTTAAATAACTAACACAAGGTAATTTCAAACATGTACATTTTAAAGGATCTTAAGTGTTGTAAGGTTAATTCATCTGTCAAATTAATTTTGATAATGTGTGTAGACATATTACTAGTATAGATTTAAATGGTTTACGAAGTTACAACTTGAATTCTAAACCATGGAATATTAATTGGCTAGAAAGTCAAGCCTTGATAAAGTTAAGTAAGAACAAAAATATAGTGATTACAAAGCCTGATAAAGGTAACAAAGTAGTAATTATAGATAAGGAAGACTACAACAACAAGATAGATGAAATTATTAAGGACAAAAATAGATTTAAAATCCTTAAAAAAGATCTCACCAAAATAGAGAAAATAAATTGATTAGATACTTATTAAAACTGAAAAAACAAACATCATAACAGAAGATATTTCTAAAGAAATAAGACCTAGTGGGTATATTGTATGGATTGCCAAAAATTCATAAATACAATTGTCTAATGAGACCTATTGTGTCTAACATTGGTTTCTATAATCACAAATTAGCACAATTTTTAAGTAAATGTTTAAAATAATTGATTAATAATGAACATACTCTGAAAGATAGCTTTGAATTTGTAGACAATATTAAGGATTTGAAATTTGATAAGGATCAAGTAATTGCAAATTTTGATGTAGAATCATTATTTACTAACATACCATCAAATGAAACCATTGAGATATGTAAAACCATATTATATGAGAAAGGGGGTAGTTTTATGGGAATACCTAAAGAGATATTCCATGAATTAAAGGTTATAGCTACAAATTAATCACATTTATTGTTTCATGGTAAGGTTTATGATCACAAAGATGGAGTTAGTATGGGTTCCTGTTTGGCCACCATATTGGCTAATGTATTTATGTGTTTTAAGGAAAAGAAATGACTGGATTCTAACCTGTAGCCATACAGTGATGCATTTCGCACCACCGGAATCACAACAAGAAAGTAAGTGGACAAACTTTCTCTTCCACATGAAGAAATCCAAAAGGCAACACCCCAGGCTCGGAATGAAGGGATCAAAGAATATTCCACTTGAGGGCCCTAACAAGACATAACAAATTATCAAGATCGAAGTGGCCATATAGGTGAGAAATAGCGGGCAAATGCATTGGTGAGAAGGATCTTTCCCCCTTCCCTGGCTGCCAGAATCTTGGGAAGAAAATACCTATTGGTGTAAAGCAGGACAAATGTGAAATGATAAAGAGTCTGATGCACATGGATTGCAAACAACTCCAACCGACGACATCCACAAGCCAACAACAACCAAACATACAATTTAAGAGAAATGTGAAACAACAAACATGAAGCTAAGGGTTCAAAGGAAGGATGAGACAATGTGTGTAAAACAACTGTAAAATCCCAATTCCATAATTGAAAAGTTGTTTGGGTCAAAGAATACAAAGGATGAGTAGACCTGATAGTGCTGAGAATTCAAAAACCTTCTGATATTTGGAATACTGAAAAATAGTGGATATGGATGCCTTATATAAAGACACCATAGACAAAGTAAGACCCCTCTTAAATACCTAAGGCATAAAACTGGATATGATAGATACTTTAGGATGAAGAGAGTTTTAATTCCTTTTAACAGACCACTGACGATAAGTATTCGATTTCTGTTGATAAATGGTCGTGGTTGGCCTATGGTCAGATTTAGTTAAGTACAGAGAAACCTTAGAAATTAAACCTTACATCAGGCAAAGGACCGCATAATTTCCAAGTATGAAGATTGAGTTTCCGAATATCTTGATGGAGAATGTTTGATCGAGGTGGTCTCAACAGAGACTGTAATATGGAAAAGGTAGAGGTGGACATTCCTACTAATACTAAAGAGACAGAAACCATGTTTGACCTGGACAATATGGTGCAACCAAGAGAACTCGACAGGGAGTGGTACGAACCATAGTCAGAACCTGGGTCAATAGCCTAATTGGAGGAAAGGCATACAGATGTAAACCTGTCCAGTTCTGACTGAACACATCTACTGCAAAATGCTTGAGGATGAGGTATTGGAGACCAAAACAACTGCAGTTGAGAATTCCAATGAGTCGCAAAGGCATAGACTGTTGGAGACACAAACTGAGAGCAAATCCACTGAAAACCTCATGACGTAGCAACCATTTGATTGGAATTATCCAGTTGGGTTGAGACAAGTGATCTGTAATTAAATTCATCCCTCCTGGAGGATGACATACTAAAAGACTGATATGATTGGAATGAGCCCAGTAGAGAAGGTCCAAGGTACGAAAAAACAACTCTCTAGAATGTGTGCCTCCTCGATGAGAAATCTGAGATTGCGCAGTGACCACCGAAGGACTTCATATGTGCTCTTCTTAAAGGAATGAGAGGCTCAAGGAATGCCCAGATCCCCAAAAGAGAGAGAACCATCCGCTCAGTAGGAGATGAAGACAAAAGTAAAAGCCTGATAGCTCTTTCCATGGCTTGAAGCCTGATAGGGTTTGGTTGAGCAAGACTTAAGTGAGCATTGAAAAACACACCCAGATGGATGAGATATTCCATCAGTGACAGAATAGATTTCTCCATTCTGATAAGGTAGCCCACTTTAGTGGGTTATGAAAGGAGAATCTAAGAGTGTTGTTCTGCTAATTTATGGGATGGTGCGAGAAGGAGCCAGTCATCCAGATAATGATGTGTGAATAGGCCCAAGGAATGCAGTGATAAGAAAAAGCTCAAATAACTCTGCAGAAGACATAAGGTGCTGATGCAAGACCAAAAGGTAGAGCCCTGAACTGCAGCACCTGAGCTTTGTGCACAAATCTGAGAAACCTCTGGGAAGATTCCACTATGGGAATATGGAGATAAACATTGGTAACATCGAACTTGGTCATAGCACTGATGCAAAGTGCCATCATAGCTTGAGAAAAAAATTTCATTGTAAAGCAAGGAGGATCTACAAATTGGTTGATACAAGACAGATAGATGATTGGATTCCAATCTCCTATATTTTTTGGTACAATGAATAGGAATAAAAACCCTGAAGAGCGGGATCGATCCTCTCTACTGTCCTTTTCACTAACAACTCTTTTATGGCATGAGAACGAAGCTCCACTTGCCATGAATCTCTTGGAGGTGAAAAGGCACAGGTTGTGCAGATAATGGTGGAGGTGAAGTAAATTGAATAACCAACCCTGAAGCCAGAACATTGAGTACCCATGGATCCCTGGTGAAAGAAATCCAGATGTCCAGAAAGTGGTGTAATCATGCTTCCACTGCTCCCCCACCCACAGGATGCTTTTGTTGATGGTCTGCCCGAGCCAAAGATCCTCGAAAATACAGATGGATTCTATTATGGAAGCCAATAGACCTGGGAATCGAAGGAGGGTGTCGGGAAACACTACGAGCTTCCTGTAACTCACTGAGAGCAGAAGACGGTAAACGAACAATTTCAAACAAAGCTCTACCCAATAAATCCAACAACACCAAACCAGCCAGGAGACCAAAGAAAGAACTGAAGAAGACAATCTGACTGGGTAGACGTCAAAAAAATCCCCAACTCATCCTCAAATTGCTGAGGGGAATGTTGATAGGCTTCCAACAAAAGTTGGATCAAAGATAAATGCCTCAGGACAGTCGTGAGAGCAAAACTAATACGAGAAAACTGTTATCTGTTTAAAGTGATCACAGGTTTCAATCTATACCCCACAGGTCCAAAAGGGGGTCCATCCATTGAGAATCTAAATATATCTCCTCCTGGTGGTGATAAGCCAAAGCATGCTGTTCCAATAAACGTGGGGGACAAGGCATAGCTATCCCATCGCATAACTGAGTGGCAAATCTCCAAGCATGAACAACAATATCAGGAGAAGGAGGAAAAACCAAGTTATCACTTGCTGTCTTTTCTGCCAACAAGGAAGGAGTAGAGTCAAATACAATAGGGAGACCTCCAAAACCTCACAAACCTGAGTAACCAACTAAAGAAAAGGGGCTGGAGGTGGCTGATGAAAATTATCCTCTGTTGAGGCCAACCTAGTAAAAGAAGAAGCCAGAAAGAGTGACTCTAAATTCTCCCCAGCTTATCCCGGGTCATTTGTAAAAGCTGACTCAGAAGCCCCCCGGAGAGAAATCCTTAGTCCACATATATGTCTCCATCTCGAAACAGATCATATCATGGAAAGCTTCGACTGGGAGTGACCCCTCCCCTGGTTGTTGATAAACACCAGACAGCAGAGGTGGAAGACATCTGGTTGGCCTCTGTAATAGAAACATTTACTTGGGAATTCACACCTCTCGGTATGTTTTTTTTTCTTTCATGCAATTAAAAGTCGCAATGTAAATTGTGAATAATCACAAGACTCTTGTTTAAAGAAACCCATGTCGATTGCTTTGTTGAGAAAAAGTGATTACATTATCTGAATGAAGTGCTTACATACAGAACCTAGATAGAGGGCACATTGAAGTTGGTGGATAATTTTGCAAATTAGAATTTGCCAAGGACAATCGAGTGGGATATAAAAGACTGGAGCAAGCATTTTCAATGCTTAGATGGACAAAGAGTGGAAACCTGAAGATTGAGAAATAGCTATAGTGTCAGTGAAGGTAAGTATGTTTTGTAATTTTGGCAACTTATATACAAGGTATTGTATAACATAGATCAATTTGTTAATGTGTTTCTATGATGGTAACTGGTGAGCTTAATTTTGGCTACTTACTTTATAAACTTCAGGTCTGTAAGCTATCGAGCCAAGTTTAACATTTAATATAAAGTATATTGATGTATAACAGTTATTGTGCTGACTGAGATAACATCTAACATGATGGGTTATTTAAGGTTAAAATGGAATATAATATTGGAAACAATTTTGTGCGGCAGTATTCTTGAGTTAACAGAGGATTCATCATGGTCAGCTCTTATTTACAGCTTATTACCAGGGAAGGTGTGACATGTTTTTCTATCCTGTGCAAACACTGACAGTGCCACCCACTCCCCAACAAAATTTCCGTGAATCATCTGTTGGTAGCAGCAGTGTTATGTTCTATCCATATGTTTTACTGTAAAATGCTGATTCTGTCTAACAGGAAATTTTTCACTCAACCAGGAAGCAGCTGGTAACTAGAACCAATTTTTTAACATTCATTTTTGTCACCATAAGAACCTGCCAACCTGTGCAAATAGATGTGTTACAACCCTGGTTGTGCTGCCCTTGCTTATAACATTAGGTATAAGGCAACAAACTTCAATTTTGTTAGATCAGTATTACTGATATTACAAGAAGTCTTAAAAGTTACATAAGAAAAATGTAGAAAAAAATACTTATTTAGTGTTACATCAGCTATTAATACAAATCCATGTGATGCAATGAAACAAACTATGCATGCCTTAAGATTATCATTACAAGCCTAAAGTTAAACAAAATCATAACTAAATGTTAGACTAAAAAATAATTTCAGTTATATAGAAATATCAATAGATCAGTAATTATATGAAAAATGAAAAACTCTCTCCAATACATCATTAAGAAAGTCCTCATCTTCAAAACAGTGACTAAATCAGTTTTCTGGTTAACTATATAATTGTCTCCTTTTCATCAAAGCTCACACAAGTGGGTTCAATTACTTTAGAATATCCTCTGACAAGACAAATCAATCTCCTCTATATCTGTTATTACGATACAAGCTGGGAAACTCATTTTAGAAATTGCTCATTACAGCTAATTCACACGCAGTCTAACTACACTCTGAATTTCACTTTCACTAATTTCCTAACTTCACTTACATGGTCACCTATATATATTGTTTGACTGAGGCCTAGAACTTTCTACAAACTACAAGATGTTATGATGTAACAATACTCAATTAAAGCAACAAGAAAAATTCAGAAGGTTTAAGTAACGACATCAATTCACAACAAATGATTCATACATAGTTACGTAAGCAAACCTGTGATAAGTTATTGCTTCTAAAAATACTAAATTTAACACTCGTGCTTTATAGCTATCTAAATCATAACTAACGAATTAAATTTAAATGAAACAGTTATGTATATCTAACAGTAACACCTTGCAGTTATTCATTTGTTATAATCAAAGTATACTTGTTTCAGGGCTGAATAAGCTGCAACAATTCTGATTAAGAAGTTAGCACACAAAAGTTGTAATGTTTCCAAAGAGACCCAAAACTCGAGTGCTTTCGAATAGTTAAAACATATGGTTCAAAATAGACTTAACAAGTCCAACTTGTATGGCATAGATTCAAAGACGGATATTCCCCTTACAACAAATCAAAAAAGCTCATATGCAATGATGCATAGAACTATATCCAGTGGCTCAACAAAATGCAAAGCAATAATATTTTTACAGATAAGTTGTACTTCACACTACAGCCAGATAATAGGCTTATACTCATTTTGGGAGAATTTGGAACCAGATCCAACTCTACTTTTATACAGAAATATAATGCATATGTTGATGGTGGAAAGGCAGTAAACACTGGTAGACATCTGCATTCTGTCAAATGGTATTATTAACCCATTCACTGTGGCTATCATGTAAAAGTTCAGACCTTTTTCTTCTGTACACTGTGACTGTGCCTTATATGGGATTTTGTTAACATCATGAGAGGTACTGGTGAGAAAAAAAAAAAAGAGAAAAAATGGTTGACCCATTTTTCAGTAACAATGTTTTGGTGGATAGAGAGTGCCTCAACACTCATAAATATGCCTTACTAGTTCATGTGGAAAATTGAAATTGAACTCTCATATATGGCACAGCCACAGTGCATGGAAGGAGAAAGAATGACCCGTATATGTGGCAGCTGCAGCGAATGGGTTACTGTCACATATTATAGAAACCACAGACTTTGTGCTGCCATATTCTGATGCCATTGACTATGATTTCAGACTAGTAGATAATAATACCATCTATCAACCTAAGCTGGACTGATTAAATGGAAACATGCTGATATCAAGTACAAGCCTTCCTTTAGTATTCATGATGACATACTCTATTTTAAAGTCTGAGAATGACTAATTATTTGCACATAAAATTGCATAATGGATTATCAGATGGAATATTCACAAAAAAATGAATAGTGAGGGAGGTCACCAACATCATTACATTGGTTTTTAACTTGTCACAGCTGAAATATCTTTAATTATCTTTAAAATGTTTTGTGCACCATATTTTTATAAAATTATTTTTCCTCTAGTATTAGCAGAAGGAAATCTTTAGGTCAATCTACCATCATATAATTAAGTTTTCTTTGAATATCAGCTCAGCTTTGTTTTTGTAATGTTTGTCAAATCAGCAACCAAGGAAGTAGTCACCATCACATAAGAACCTTGATATACAGAGAAACATTTGCTTTTAAGTAAAACACCTAGACAAAAAAATAAGCTTTAGTTATGAATAAGAATGATTTGAAAAGCCACTAACTGAAAAATAAGTTGTGTGAAAGGCAAATTAACAATTGTTTGTCCTATAATGCCAAGATAATGAGCAGTTGGATCTTAGATTGCTATTTTTAATGCAATATACTGACTCAAATTATGAAAAAAAAACTAACAAACAGTAGTTAGTACTTTCTGGGCAAATAATGGTTTTATAGAGTATTTTTATCTCTTATCACAGAAGAAGTTATTGGGAGCAACTCTTACCTCTCACTAAGGCCTTCATATGGTTAGGCTTTAACTTCAGAGCAGCTTCAGTATCATTGAAAGATGATCTGTAGTTACCTGGTTTAAACAAAAACGTCATTTATTTAATGACATCCTAATTTTTTAATGAGAATTTTCACTACCTTGTAATTTAATTCCCAAGAATGTTTTTGGGGATGTACTGGAATGGTTAATCCTTTCTTTAATCAATATAACTGTGTTACTTTATTTCCTACACTGACCCTCTCTAACCAACTGCTACTCTTGTGCTTTTTTTTTCTTCAGCAAACTTTCCATGTAGGTCATTGAATAAAAGCACAAGTTGTTATTCAATAAAACAAATAAAATTTCTAGGTATGTTTTCAGTACAAGAGATCACTGCATTTGTTCTGACCTCCTTTCAATACAAATACACCAAATCCAACCATCTGGTGCTCTAGCTCTCATATTGAAGTGATATGAATCAAAATTAGTATTGTATTATTTGACCAGATGATCTCCTCTTGTAGTACTGATGAAGTATATTAAGTTACAATTAATACATAAAACTTAGATTCCACGCAGGATGTGTTCTGTGTAGTAATAGCATCTTTCAATTTCAATGGTTATTAAAATGGGGTTGTGTTTAAAGATGGTTTTTCATTTGCAAGAAAACTACCCAAAACAGAAGATTACAGCATAATGTATATTCATTTAATTGTGAATTGATTACATGGTGTTAATATGGTGACATAACAGCATCATAGCATCATTGTCACTGAATTCCAAATGAAATGTTTCATAAGCCTACAACAATTTATATATTATTTACATAAGAACATTTACTATCCTGATATTTAATTTCTACAAAACTGTACTTTTTTTTTTTTTAAATAGCCTTCTCAGATGATATTTTAAGTTGGAAATTGTAGTATTTTAAAAGCATTATATTTAGTAATAGGTTGTTTGGATTACTAAAATTTCAGTGCAAAAAACAACAAAACAAAGGTATCCAATACTGCAATTTTGTGCCTGTTTCTCCTTCTATGGATAATTAAATGGTTGTATGATACTGATACATTCTTATAAAAACAGACCAACATTTTCTTTCTATTTAAAATTCACAAATGTACCATCAACACAGTGTAGTTACTATAGTAAATTAAATAGTTCATCAATTAGACCATTCTTTTCATAAAGGCATATAAACAATTTCCTAAAGTCAAAGCTAACAGTTATCTCACTATAATTCAATTTTTTTTATTGATATTCATTTATCAAAAATGAAATGACTGTCAATCAGCTATTCAAAACGAAAAAGAAAAAGTTTTTTAAAACGTACCGAGTTATTCAAATCTGAACGGCCTTTGAAGAGAAACTCAGTATATATTTTCTTTGTTGCAAAGACATGATAGTACATAACAATTTCAAATCCAGATTAACATGGCACACATTTCCAGAACAATTAAGGTCCTTAAATGTATTGTACATATTCATGGCTTTCTTTAACAATGGAATTACTAATGATGATGACTGAGAAGTAAAAAATTATGATATTTAACACAGCAGTCTTATTGGTTTATTTGTTTTAGTGTAAGACTGCACAATGGGCTATACGTACTCTTCTGCTGCAGGGAATCATATCCCAGATTATAGTATTGTAAGTCTATAAAGTTACCACTGAACCCACTTAGGAAGCAGTGTTACTGGATATCCTTGTTTCTGTACTTAAGACATGGTATAAAAATACCTATAACCCAAGTGCTTTCAAAAGGTCCATTTCCAGAACAATTAAGGTCCTTAAATGTATTGTACATATTCATGGTTTTCTTTAACAATGGAATTGCTAATGATGATGACTGAGAAATAAAAATTATGATATTTAACACAGCAGTCTTATTGGTTTATTTGTTTTAGTGTAAGACTGCACAATGGGCTATACATACTCTTCTGCTGCAGGGAATCATATCCCAGATTATAGTATCGTAAGTCTATAAAGTTACCACTGAACCCACTTAGGAAGCAGTCTTACTGGATATCCTTGTTTCTGTACTTAAGATATGGTATAAAAATACCTATAACCCAAGTGCTTTCAAAGGGTCCACCTTTCGAAAGCACTTAGATTATAAGGTATAGTTTCTTTGTCAAATTGATTTCTTGAACCTATGTATTTTTCTTAAATCAGGAACATAAGAATACCTGATAGATCCAGTCAGCTGTAACTTTTAATAATTATTTTCTTTAAAGATGCTCTCATTTCTTTTTAGTTTAAAACCTTACATATACTAGTTTCTACAAATATTTGACAAATTTTTTATGTGATAACCAATTAAGTTCAAAATATCTATAAATATTATTGCCTTTATTCAATTGTACAATAATAATGTCTCCTTTTGTGTTCATTAATGTTGTAAACTGTTCTGTATTCTTTGATAGATTGTTTAGGCAGAGTACTCATGATGAGTACACTGGAATGGGCAGCAACTACTTGTAAAAAACACAAGTGTAGATGACAATGTTTCGTAAATCTTCCATTTTTCCTCTTCAGACGAAAGACCTTCAAAACATCGTCCTTTACACTTGTGTTTTTTCTACAACAAGCAGTTGCCACCCAGTCCAGTGTACTCATCATAGCCCGTATTCTAATCTTTTAAAAATTACAACTTCATTGTATCCATATAAATAGAGGCTTTACAGTATTATATCAAGATTTCAAAGTTCTAAAGTTGATCCACACCATTAATATTTTAGGAGATAATTGTGTTACTTGTTGATTGAGAAGTTTAAGCAAAGCAAACAGAGCTATATGTGTTTAGCTGTCCCTAATTTTTAACTGATAGACTAGAGGGAGGCAGTTAATCAACAGCACCCACAAAAAATCTTGGGCTACTCTTATCTGACTGAATAATACCATTTGATCATCATTCTTACAGCACACCAACAGCAATGGACTAAGAACCATAAATCCTCAGATTCACACCTGAGCATGCTAACCACTAAGAGGAGTTAATAAAAACTAATATTTTTGCTAATATATGTTTCCTGTTTAATTCAGCATTCTGAATAGTTGAAAGTGACTAACTGGTTAATAAAAAATATTTCCATTGTCATTGTATAAAGAGAGAGAATTTGCTGAGCTGGTTAGGCAACATTGATTTTTGCCACATTTCTTCAATTCAATTTTTAAATCCAAAAGATGCAGTGCTGAAAATCATCAAGCAGAAGTAACTTTAGAAATTTGTACATGCTATAGCTTATTACATAACTAAGGAAATAAAATGCAACTTTAAACTGCAAGATATTACACACTGCTGACTATTATCTCTGTATGTATCTAATTGGATAAAATTTTAAACTGAAAAAAACTAAGAGAAAAACCTTAACATTTTATCACTAGGAAAAAACAAATCTTAAATAAAAATGAAACAAGTAGCAACTGCATTTTTTGTTGTTAACAACTATCTATTTAATATAAACTTTATCAAAATGGTTTCACTTTTTTTTTGTAATATGAAAAATAATTGTGCATATTTTAGCAATAATAAAAATTAAAAGCTGTATCAGATCATTTTACTTAATTTACTGCTAACATGGTATTTTCAAATTCACTAAATTGCCTTTGAAAAGTTTGGTAGGAGCCACAAAATAACTGACAACTTACCAAAAATGTTATAAGGATCAAACTTTGTATTCTCTTAACCCCAACTCAGTTTAAAGCAAAGAAAGAATATATGTCCCACACAGTAAAACAATCTTTATTTCCAACACTCATTAAAAACAATAAAGCTTTTAATGGCAGGAGTAAAATCATGTAATCTTGATAAAACATGGCAATATATAGGAAATATAACAGTGCCACCTAAATGACTGATGTTCACTCTTACTACAAAACAATGATGATGTATCCCTGGACACAACACAGCTTGCTAGTTAAAAAGATCACTGTTACTTTCTATACAAAATTTACTGTGTTACAGCAATCTTTACCTATAAAAGTTTACATGACACGACACCCTAGTTGAATGATCTAGTTCTGTGTATAACTATGATGAAAAAATTTAGTGGTTCCCTTGACCAACTTTTTGTATTAATAACACAATACTCAACATATACATAAATTTTGAAAAATGTATATATTAACAAAGGGAGTAGAATACAAAATAAGCTTACCAACAAAATTTATACTCTCCCCTTTAACTTCAGGCTGACCCAACTGTCCCTTGCTTTGAAATTTAAAAACCAATTCAGATACCCTGTGCCCCAGTGAGGAAATTGGTAACTTACTCTCACTCCTGCCTAACATATACCCAAATTTTAGATAGAAGACAGGTAATGCAGTGTTACATGAAAATCAGAAGATTACATTTTAAAATAGAAAATGTAAAAAGAAACTTTTTAAAATAAAATACAAAGCAGGAACAAAACTAAAACAAATTAAACATACTCATTAATACAATTCACACAAAAAGGTAATAGGTAAACTCATTTAACACAAAAAGTTCAATGTACAAACAAATTATTTCAACAAGCAAATCATGTTCAAATAAAAAATTAAGCCTCTTTAAAAAGACCATAAAACACAAGAAAAGCAAAAACATGCAAAAATTGACATTTTAAAAACAAAACAAAGACTTGAACTAATAGAAAACACAAAGCTTTTAATACTACATATAAACAAAACAGACAAAAATAAAACAACTTCAAAAGTAAACAGTACAAAATGACAACCCTTCATACAATAGTTACAAAACAACTGAAAAACAAAAAGACTTGAAATAAATCTTTACTTTTCAGCTCAATATATAAAACTCTTTTGAATTAATACAAAGAAAGTAACCCTCATCAGCACACACTGGCTTTTTCTGTTGTTTATCTTTTTTTACATAATCATGACAAATTTATATCAATTCATTATTTATCAAGCAGAAACCCTGGATCAGAATGACACTATTGTTTCGAAACAAGCAGACGGAGTATGTAGCTATAATCTAATAAATTATCTGGGGTCCACATGGACCCCATACTGTCAATGACTGTCACTATAGATGCATCCCCCCCCCCATAGCACACAAAACAAATTTCTAAATGTTCATAGGCTG